AAAGGCCATCGCGGAAGCAGCAGCATGCATGCATGGAGAAGGTGAGGCGGGGAATAGGACGACGATGAAAGTGGCGGGAGGAGACAGAAGACTGCCGCGTTTTTCAAGTGCGAGCTAAACCCGCAGCGCTGCCTGCGCCATGTCGTCGCAGAGTTCCACATGATAAAACTTGTTTAGAAGGCAAGGAACGAGCGAGGCGTAGCTCGCCCGCTAGCTTTTCCGCCTCCTTCCCGCACGCTTCAGCGCGGGAGCTGAACGCTCGCAGGCGCGCCGCCAGGTCTGCGGGCGGCCCGCGGGAAAGAAACTCAAGGCCGGGGTCGCGTATCATCAATCGGTTGTCCATCGTCCAAAGTTGCACTGGCGACGTACTGGTTGAACGCGGAGCGAGCAGCATCACGCGCGTGCCTGAACGCCACGCAGGTACAGTGCACGCGCGATTGGGACTTCAGGTCGATCGCGCGCGTCTCCACCAGGCTTGGCAACACCACGCGACTGAGGATCTCACTGCGGTCTGCCATGCTGCTGTCCGCGAATGCAACGCGCTGCCTGCAAGTAAGGCGGCGGCGTCCACTTGTCTCAGAAGATGTTCCCGCGGGCCCGAAGGGCGACCGCCAACTCGAGCCGCGGCGCCGGCAGGCCTGATAAGGATCATGCAACAGCAAAGACGATGACAGAGCAACGAGGTATCGGCGAGCGCATGACCGGCCTCCGTTTCCTGCACTTCTTTCCTGTAGTTCCCCTAGCTCATCGAGCTCAGCAGTTTCTGCGGGCCCGAAGGACGACCGCCAGCTCGAGTCGCAGCGCCGACGAGCTGCATCCACATCAGGCAACGCCCCAGGAGACGCTGGCGCGCAACGATTTGACGTCAGTCAGCGCCAGACCACTCCATGTCTAGTTCCTCGCACACATACAGTCGATCGCAGATGCGGGATAATCGAAGTAGAATGACGGGTCCAATCTGCGTCCGCGTAGGACGTCACTATGCTGGACCCCGCAGCAGGTCTCGAAAGTGGCGACAGTTTCATGGGCCCCCCAGCAGCCCTCGAAAGTGGCGACAGTTTCACAGATCGCAGCCCCCCAGGGATGGCGAGGTCTAATCTGAGTCCCCGTAGGGCGTCACTCCGCTGGGCCCCCCAGCAGCCCTCGAAAGTGGCGACAGTTTCACAGATCGCAGCCCCCCAGGGATGGCGAGGTCTAATTTGGGTCCGCGCGTGGCGTCACTGTGCTGGGCCCCCCAGCAGGCCTCGAAAGTGGCGACAGTTTCACAGATCGCAGCCTCCAGGGGATGGCGAGGTCTCATTTGAATCTGCCCGTGGCGTCACTGTGCTGGGCCCCCCAGCAGGCCTCGAAAGTGGCGACAGTTTCACAGATCGCAGGCCCCCCAGGGATGGCGAGGTCTAATTTGAATCTGCCCGTGGCGTCACTGTGCTGGGCCCCCCAGCAGGCCTCGAAAGTGGCGACAGTTTCACAGATCGCAGCCCCCAGGGATGGCGAGGTCTAATTTGGGTCCGCCCGTGGCGTTACTGTGCTGGGCCCCCCAGCAGGCCTCGAAAGTGGCGACAGTTTCACAGATCGCAGCCCCCCAGGGATGGCGAGGTCTAATCTGAATCCCCGTAGGGCGTCACTCCGCTGGGCCCCCCAGCAGCCTCGAAAGTGGCGACAGTTTCACAGATCGCAGCCCCCCAGGGATGGCGAGGTCTAATCTGAATCCCGGTTTTTTTTTTTTTTTTTTTTTTTTTTTTTTTTTTTTTTTTTTTTGTTTTTTTTTTTTTTTTTTTTTTTTTTTTTTTTTTTTTTTTTTTCTTTTTTTTTTTTTTAGGGCGTTCACTCCGATGGCCCCAAGCAGGCCTCGAAAGTGGCGACAGTTTCACAGATCGCAGCCCCCCAGGGATGGCGAGGTCTAATTTGAGTCCGCGGTGGGTACCCACTGTGCTGGGCCCCCCAGCAGGCCTCGAAAGTGGCGACAGTTTCACAGATCGCAGCCACCCAGGGATGGCGAGGTCTAATTTGGGTCCGCCCGTGGCGTCACTGTGCTGGGCCCCCCAGCAGGCCTCGAGAGTGGCGACAGTTTCACAGATCGCAGCCCCCCAGGGATGGCGAGGTCTACTCTGAATCCCCGTAGGGCGTCACTCCGCTGGGCCCCCCAGCAGCCCTCGAAAGTGACGACAGTTTCGCAGATCGCAGCCCCACCAGGGATGGCGGGAGGAGGCGGGAAGGAAGGAAGGAAGGAAGGAAGGAAGGAAGGAAGGAAGGTGGAGACCGCAGTGCTCTATTCAAAACGAGTACCCAACGCAGGAGGGTTGGGAAAAAGAAAACGGCCCGCGAGATGGCCAAAACACCATTCAGGACCAGCCTTGGTGCAGCTGCTGGAGAGCGCCGCAAGGCTGGAAGACCGCCGAGAATCGACGAAGGCGTTGGAAAACCGTGGGAGCAGCAGGCAAAGGCCTCCTCCGAGCGTCCCCGCCTGCCCGGCGGGAAGTGTTTGTCAAGCTAGCCGTGGTCCCGAGAGTGAGCTGTCGGGGGCGGCCAAGAGGGGGGTGATGACAAGGGCGGGGAGGAAGAGGAGGAGGAGGAGGAGGAGGAGGAGGAGGAGGAAGAGGAGGAGGAGGAGGAGGAAGAGGAGGCGGAAGAGGGAGGGAGGGAGGGAGGGAGGGAGGGAGGGGAAAGAGGGAGGGAGGGAGGGAGGGAAGGAGGGAGGAGAGGAGAAGGGGAGGGAGGCATGGGGAGGAAGAGGAGGAGGAGGAGGAGGAGGAGGAGGAGGAGGAGGGAGGAAGGAAGAGGGGGGAAGAAGAGGGCCATGACGGCCTCGGATATCATGGCGGGGGCCATGGTATCTCCTCAGATTTCATGGCGCCTCCTCTTATTTCATGACGTCCCTGACCCCCCCCCTGGGCTGCGCACGTGACGCCGGCCATGATTTGCGCCCCCCCCCTCTTGGACCCCCCCTCTTGGCCGCCCCCGAAACTGGCCGGGCCCGATCCACCCCTGCCAGCGGCGGAGGAGAGGGGGGTCGGACGGGGCCAGGACGAGGACAAAGCCGTTCCAGAGCGTGCCGGAAGGCTCCCAGAGCGTTCCGGAGCGCTCTGAGAAGGCCGCGGCGCCCGAGGTTCCCGATTTATCCTCACCCGGTTTTATCTGCGTCCTGGCCTCGTCTTCGGGGCGGAGGGGGAGGCGGAGGGAAGCGGGGGGGGGGGGCAACAGCTCGCACCGGCCGAGCGGCTCACCGTCGCGCAGCTCGCGGCACTGCACCCAGCTTGGCATCGCTCGGACGTGCGCACTTTTTCCCCGGCGAGGACCATCGAGGAGTATCTTGACCATCTTGCGAGTAAGAAGCGCACGAAGCCGAGAATTGTATGGGGAATTGGCGTCCGAGCGATGGCGAGGCAGAGGTAAGCAAACAAGACAGGTCGTCCTCAGGTTCGCAGTCGACATCTCGCGCCCCATCCCTCTCGGCCTCCCAGATGTCAGGCAGTGGCGAGGCGTCCTGGCAAGCTTAAATATAGGTCCCCCAAAAGAATGTTCTAAGAACCTTTTTGTGGTTTGCACGAAATTTGATTTGAACATTTCTGGCTGAGAATTTGTTTCAATTCATCGGGTCTATGCTCTAAGAACATTGTATTCGTTCTTAGAACAGTTCTGGGTTCTAAGAACATGTCGTGGTAAGCTTATAGGAATGCTGGGACGGTCTGTCCCTGCTCAAAGATGGGGTCAGAGTAGATGGGTTCGGTAGCAAGTCATGGGAGCCTGGCATACCCCCTTAGTTTCGCCTTTAGCTTCGGTTAGCGTCGATGAGCGTCTGTGAGTCGATGGGATAGCACCTATTTAGCGCTGGCTAGCGTCGATTAGCGTCGATTTAGCGTCGACTAGCGTCGACTAGCATCGATTACCGTCGATTCGCAAGAGCCGACCAGATGGTTTGGGGGGCTCCCATGAGTTGCCACCGAAGATGGGGTCAGAGGATGGCGCCGCATCGCCGATGCATAGGCGATGCGGCTTCATGTGTAGCCCGATTTCTCCACGCCGACGTCGCCGATGCATTGCCGACGTCGCCGATGCATCGCTGCATCGCCAGTGCATCGGGGATACATCGGCGAACGAGTGCAATCCTCCGATCTACTCGGACCGAATCTAGAAGGCCTCTAATCCCTGACTCTTCCCCACCAGACATTAAACCGCTTAGAAAAGGAGGGGAACTCGGGAATACATCCCCTGGGGGCCAATCGGGCGCACCCTTATCGAGGATTCACGCCACCCCATCGTATATCCCCGAGTTGGGCTCCACAAGTTTGGTCCATTCGAGACTCCCACGGAGTCGGGAATACGGTCGGGAACTTCGGGATAGCGTTTCGCTCCGCCAGTTCTGGCCCACTACAGTCGGCCCAGATTAGTAGGTCGACCCTGCCAATTTGGCAGGGTCGACCTGTGCTAATTAGTCAACTTGGTCATCCCAGTTAGTCAACCTGTGTTAATGGCAGGGTCGACCCTGCCATTGGCAGGGTCGACCCTGCCAATGAGTAGGTCGACCCTGCCAATGAGTAGGTCGACCCTGCCTGATTCGAAATCAAGGGTACCCTTGTGTCCTGTGTCTCGCGACCCATGTTTCATACATTCCTGTAGCAATGTGCCCCTCGGAAGGGTCTTGTGTCCCCTCGCGTGTCCTGTCCAAGCGAGTCCGACTGTACGCATCCGCTTCGCGGCCCCGAGGCGCCCATGTCCCGAGCCTTTCCCGAGCCCTCCGCCCCGCGGGGCGCAGCGGCACGCTGTCCACTCGTGTCGCCGAGGCCGCCGCGGCGACGCGCCAAAAGTTCCTGACCCTACAGGGGCTCTTGGTATCGCTGGGACGTGTGCTTTGTTTTTTCTCGGCGGGGACTATCAAGGAGCATCCTGGATCATCCTGCGAAAGAAACCACGCACGCAACCGACAAAAAGCACAGGGAGTGGACGCCCGAGCGACGGGGAGGGGGTCGACATATGTCCCGTGCTGCAGCTCGCCGAGCGAGGTGAGGGCGAGCGCCCCAGCGGCCGACGCCTCCGCCGCCGGCGCGCCGGGCAGCGGCGGCGCCGCCGCGACCCTCGGCGGCCAGGAGGCGGAGGACGTCGGGGGCAATGCCCGGGGGGAGGCACCGCCGATGCGGCTCGATGCGGAGCCTGATTTGCTCCGCGGTGGCGTCGCCGGTGCACCGCCGAGGGCGCCGAAGCACTGGCGAGGCGGCGCGATCCTGCGACCCCATGTGTTCAGGAGGCCTCCATCAGGGGCGGTGTAAGGGGAGTCTTTGTAGTCAGGGGCAACGATAAGATCTAGGTTTTTACCTAACAGCTTTTGCTGATAGGTTTCTAGTGGTCTCAAAAGAGAGCAGCAGATGACTCCACAGGGGGGTCGGGGCGGGACCCAGGGAGCTGTGTCCGAACTCGTGTCCGAATGCGCTTTTCGCAAACAGTCACACACTTCGTGCTCTTCGACCTCCCAGAACTCCATTCCCAGGCCACATTCTGAATGCCCGGAGCCAACTGTAGGCCACTTCGTGCTCTTCGACTTCCCAGAACTCCATTCCCGGGCCACATTCTGAATGCCCGGAGCCAACTGTAGGCCATTTTCGTGCTCTTCGACTTCCCAGAACTCCATTCCCGGGCCACATTTTGAATGCCCGGAGCCAACTGTAGGCCACTTCGTGCTCTTCGAGTTCCCAAAACTCCATTCCCGGGCCACATTCTGAATGCCCGGAGCCAACTGTAGGCTACTTCGTGGTCTTCGAGTTCCCAGAACTCCATTCCTGGGCATGATTTTGAATGCCCGGAGCCAACTGTAGGCCACTTCGTGGTCTTCGAGTTCCCAGAACTCCATTCCTGGGCATGATTTGAATGCCCGGAGCCAACTGTAGGCCACTTCGTGGTCTTCGAGTTCCCAGAACTCCACTCCTGGGCATGATTTTGAATGCCCGGAGCCAACTGCAGGCCACTTCGTGTTCTTCGAGTTCCCAGAACTCATTCCCGGGCCACATTTTGAATGCTGAGGCAGGCTGAGGCTGAGGCTGAGGCAGGCTGAGGCTGAGGCCGAGGCTGAAGGCAGACTGAGGCTCAGGCTGAAGCAGGCTGAGGCTGAGGCTGAGGCTGAAGCAGGCTGATGCTGAGGCAGGCTGAGGCTGAGGCTCAGGCTGATGCAGGCTGAGGCTGAGGTAGGCTGAGGCTGAGGCCGAGGCTGAAGGCAGACTGAGGCCGAGGCTGAAGCAGGCTGAGGCTGAGGCTGAGGCAGGCTGAGGCTGAGGCTGAGGCAGGCTCAGGCTGAGGCAGGCTGAGCTGAGGCTGAGGCTGCAGGCAGGCTGAGCTAGGCAGGGCGAGGCGAGGCTGAAGGCAGACTGAGCGAAGCTGAAGCAGGCTGAGGCTGAGGCTGAGGCAGGCTGAGGCTTTGAGGGCTGAGGCAGGCTGATGCTGAGGCAGGCTGAGGCTGAGTCTGAGGCTGAAGCAGGCTGAGGCTGAGGCTGAGGCAGGCTGAGGCTGGGGCCGAGGCTGCAGGCAGACTGAGGCTGAAGCTGAAGCAGGCTGAGGCTGAGGCTGAGGCTGAGGCTGAGGCAGGCTGAGGCTGAGGCTGAGGCTGAGGCAGGCTGATGCTGAGGCAGGCTAAGGCTGAGGCTGAGGCTGAGGCAGGCTGAGGCTGAGGCAGGCTGAGGCTGAGGCCGAGGCTGAAGGCAGACTGAGGCTGAGGCTGAAGCAGGCTGAGGCTGAGGCTGAGGCAGGCTGAGGCTGAGGCTGAGGCAGGCTGAGGAGGCAGGCTGAGGCTGAGGCTGAGGCTGATGAGCAGGCTGAGGCTGAGGCAGGCTGAGATGCAGGCTGAGGCTGAGGCCGAGGCTGAGGCTGATGGCTGAGGCTGAGGCTGAGGCGAGGGCTGAGGCTGAGCAGACTGAGGCTGAGGCTGAGGCAGGCTGAGGATGAGGCTGTGACTGTGACTGCCGTTGCCACTGCGACTGTCATCGCGAATGCGACTGCGACTGCGAGAACAGCAGAATTCTACAACTGGATTCTCATGTGAATGTTGAGGGGAATGCTTCCAGATATGCTCCTACACATCGCTGTTAGGTTGCTTTGCCTGGATAATTATTTGTTTCGGGCTTCTCGGGGCCCTGACTGGGCCCCAGGACCGTCAAAAACGGCTCCTGACGAAAAGCCAGTGGGGAACCGCGTTGTGAACAAATCATGGCGGAGGATGTAATGTGTAGGTTCGAGGTTTGCGGGCGTTTTCGTCGGCTGTGATGAGTTTCCCAGCCTCGGGGTTGTTTCCAGCATTCGCGCCTCGTCGAGCGCGCATCGAGGCTGCCCGGACCGTCCCGAACGGCCGCCGGAGGCCAGTGACCGAAAGTCTACCAGGGGATAGGCTCAGGAGGACAACGCAGCGATCCCCCATCGCCCATTCATCGCCGACAGGGGCCCGATGGCCCATTCTGCCCAGGACCGCGCGGATCTGCCTTCGGGAGCCGATCGTCGACCTATCGGCGAGGTGTCGCCGCCGGAGCCGGTCGCCCCGATCGTCCCCCCTCAAGGAGGCGGAGGACTCCTTGGTGAGCTTCGCCATCTCGAGCTCCCAGGCGGACCGCCCCTCCTCCTCCTCCCCCTCCTCCTCCTCCTCCTCCTCCTCTTCCTCCTCCTCCTCCTCCTCCTCCTCCTCCTCCTCCCCCTCCCCCCCCTCCCCCCTCCTCCTCCTCCTCCCCCTCCCCCCCCTCCTCCCCCTCCTCCTCCTCCTCCTCCTCCTCCTCCTAGGTGTTGTGGTCCGAGGCGCCCCATTTTGGGCTAGCGGCCCGACAGACCACGACCCCAGCCCCGCGGGGCAACTTCTCTCATCTTGCCCAGGGCGCGGGCACGACGGCCGCGATCGGCGGGGCTTCTGCCACGCCAGGGCGTTCCCGATCACCGGTGTGGCACCGCAGGGCGCGGCGCCAGCGGGCGGCCTCAAGGGCACGACTGCAGCGCGAAAGGGACATCGCACGCCTGCAGGACCACCACGGCAGCGTTCCTCCCAGGATGCCTGGCAGCAAGCAGCAGCGAGGTGCAGCTTCGCCGTGGTCCACCTGCAAGAGCTGCGGTGTGCATGAGTGGAACGTGGTCCTGCAGAAGCAGGCCTGCAAGTGCAGCCGCTGCGGAGTGAAGGTTGACCTCTACACCGCCAAGGGTAGCAACTCCAAGGAGGGCAAGTCGGGCAAGGTTCCTGTCGTTGGAAAGGGGCCCAGCGACTCAGTCTCGGCAGAGGACAAGGCCATCCAGACCTTGGAGGCCGCTCTCAGGTGCACTGAGGACCCCGCACTCCGCAGGATGATCCAGTCGCAGATTGACGACCTCAAGCACAAGCGGGCTCAGCAGTCCGCAGTGCCTCCTGAGGACGCGCTGCGGCTGGCCGACGGCGCCGTCCGCGACGCCTCCGCCAAGCACGACCAGGCCATGGCTTCTCAAGTGTCGTGAGGCTCTGGAGGAGGCGCAGGAGAAGGAGCGTCTGGCCGCACTCGTTCTCGCTCAAGCTGAGGACGCGAAGAAGCTTGCTGCGCAGGCCCTCGCCACCAAGTTGGGCGTCACTGTCCAGGAGGGTGAAGGCGGCGCCGAGAGCAGGACCTTTTTTTCAGATTACATGGGACGAGGATTTCTTCCGCAATCTTGACAGCATGGAGGCCGAGCAGTGAAGTTCAGGAGCTTCGCAAGTTGGAGTCCGACCTCAAAGCAGTGAAGGACCAGCTTGCCACCAAGAACACGCAGGTAGGTGGGCGACTGGCTGCAGCGGGCCAAGGAGCTCCAGAGCCAGCTCACCGACAGGATGGCCAAGAAGCGCAAGGGCGACAGCGGCACCCCATCAGTCGGTGCAGCAGGTGGTGGCGCCCAGGCGGCTGCAGCCGCTGGCGCTCCACCTGCAGCTACGGCGGCAGCGGGCGCGGCCTCAGGCAGCGCGGCGGCGGCCGCCCCCCCAGCCGCCGCCCCCGCCTCGGCCGACCCCGAGGCAGCCAGAGTCGCTCGGGAGGTGCGTGAGGCCCGCATCCAGCAGGCCGCGGCCAAGATCAGCGCCTCCAAGGCTGCCGCCATGCAGGCGTCCGAGGCGGCCAAGAAGGAGGCGGCTGGCGCAGGGGCGGCGGCCGCTTGTGACGGCAAGTGACGAATGGGCAGGAGCGGCGGCGCGGGTGAGCAGGCATCTGCGCCGACGACCGCTCGGGGAGAGTCTGCGTCGCAGACTGACCTGCCTCGGGGGACTGAGGTCGCCGCGACCTCCAAGAGCCAGAGTGACACGTTCATATTTTTCTCTAATGTCACTGCCATGGGGAAGCAGGCCTGGGACTACGTGACTGGGCCCGCTTCGACTCCGTATCACTACCTCCTGCTAGTTGAGACTCATATCGAGTCCGCCAGCGACTTGCAGCACTGGAAGGGCCAGGCACGCAAGTCGCACCTCAAGTTGATAGACAATCCAGCTCGCGGCACGGGCCGCGAACAGTCGGAGGCCACCAAGGACAGGGCCAACGAGGGCGGCGAGTGGATCCTTGGGAGGCAGCATTTACAGTTCCACAGGCTCCACGACACCGACTCCGTGTGCCGCGACCTCAAGGCCGAAGGCAGCGCCGCCCTGGATGGGTTCACGGTGGCGATCCTCAACCAGCAAGGGTATTCCATCGTGCTGATCGCTTTCTACGGGTACTGCACCGAGGGCCTCCACGGCAGGAACTTGGTGCGGTTCGCCAAGCTGGGGGCCCTCGTCTCTCAGCTGAAGCTGCCGTGGATTTGCATCGGCGACTTTAACCTCCAACCGTCTGTCCTGGCCGACGCTGGATTTTTGGATCGCGCGGGTGCCAACGTCCTCACAGCTGCCGACACGGAGTACACTTGCGTTGGCGGCACGGGCAAGGGCAGCACGCTGGACTACGTCATGGCCAGTTATTCGGCGTTACCGTATATCGTGAGTTTGAGCGCAGTTTTGTCAGTACCTTGGCGACCGCACTGCGGGCTTCAACTTCGGCTGAGGAGTTCGGGGTCTCAACTGCTGTGTCGGCAGCTGGTGCTTGCTGCTCAACTCCCGCAAGTACCTCGACCTACCACCCAGCCGCAAGAGGGTTCCAAGTCGTCTAAGGCCCGAGGGGTGCGTATCTTGGCACGACGGGTTGCTCAGGACAGGATGGCGACGGCGACGGGTGAGATGTTCGGAGACCTCTGTTCCGCTGGAGGGGCGACGGCGTCAACGTCGGCGACGACTTCTTCCTCTGAGGGCGAGCCCAGTGAGCAGGCCACTTCTTTTGCCCCCGCCTGGCACGAATCGGATGATGAGGACGACTACGTGCCACCAGGTTTCTTTGGACCCGAGGCTGGCAGCCCAGCAGCTGCCGAGCCTCCAGCCCCACCTAGGCCTGACGAGGCCGAGGTCGCGGCTCCGTCTCACGACATATCGAATGTGCTTACCGCACCCCGCGAGTCTCGGGACCCACCCAGTGGTTCGGCCTCCCCCGAGGTCCCCTCGGGCACCCCTGGCGGTGCCCTGCCTGCCTTTTCCCCCCCCTCTGACCTCTGGGACTCCTGCAGGGCACAAGTGGGCTACACGGACTCCGCTGGCACCTCGGATGTTCTACCTGCTATTGCCAACTCTGCAGCGTTTGCGGTTGGGGGACCACACATCCTACGTCTAGGAGCTCTTTATGGATCTTGGGTCAAGGCCTTGGAGCGTGCCGTCTGTATTCACCATGGGACGAATCTAGCGGTGCCTTCCAGGGACTCAGGGCCTAAGTACACCGCCACCGAGGTAAAAGCTGCGTCTAAAGTTCGGGAACGGCCTCTACATGATCAGGTGCCGTCTTGGTGGGGCAGGGTTACCACAGTATTGACCAAGCTCAGCCTGCATCGTTCTCGTGGCAACGGACCCATGCAGCAGCAGCAGCTCGCGGAGGCTTGCGCGGCCTTGGCAGGGGACCAGCCAGGCAGCGTGCACGCGCCTCTCGCCTCGCTTGCCGACCCGACCGTGGCCTCGTGGAGCGAGTGGCACGCTCGGCTACTTACGGTCACTGCCTTGCCTGGTGCCAGCTTGCGCGAGATGGCCGTCACGGCCAAGCGCATCACAGGTCGAGCTCGTCGGCGGGCGTTGGGGGCGTCCCTTAAGGAGCTTAGTGCTTGGATTTCGACCTCGGAGGCTCCTGGGATCCTCCACAAGGCTCTTAAAAAGACCCCTCCTGTCCCCGATGAGCTCGTAGTCGACGGCCAGGTTATGTATCATCCCCTGGACATCGTTGATAGCAAAGCCAGTACGTGGAAACAGCTCTGGGGCCCAAGGGAACCCGATCTACACGATGCCCAGGAAGTATTCCATGAAATTCGTGAAGTTGCTCGGCACGAACGCCTCGAGCCACTTTCCCACGACAGAGTCCGTCAAGCGCTACATTCCATGCGAGCTAAGACAGGACTCGGGGTAGACAAACTCACCCCGTTGGATATGGAACGTTTACCTTTTGCTGGGGTTTCGGAGCTCGCTGGGCTTTTCAATGCCTGCGAGGAATGCCTCTCCTGGCCCTGGCAGGTCCTCTTGGTCGTGGGGAAGCTTTTAGGGAAAAAATCGGGTTCGGACCGCGTTATTGGTCTCATGTCCATGTTTTCCAGGACTTGGTCCCGCGCTCGGGAGGACGACGTCCGCTCTTGGTCTCAGGACTCCGAACCAGCGTGGGACGCCGCAACGGCGGGGAACTCGGCGCTCCGCGAGGCCTTCGTCCGCGCTTTGAAGGACGAGGCCATGCGCAACTTGGGGATCGCTTTCGGGGAGGGCCTCGTAGACACCAGGGGGTTCTACGATGAGATGCAGTGGGGTCCTCTCGCTCGGGCCGCTCTCAGGCTTGGGTTTCCCCCTGAGGTTCTCTTCTTGGAACTACAGATGTGTGTTGCACCTCGTGCGGTCTCTCAGCTGGGGCCCTACCCCGAGGCCTTCCAGGTCGTCCAGAGCATCATTCAGGGGCTCTGGTCTGGGGCGCGTTTCGGGCGATGTATGATCTATTTCATCATGAGTAAGATTACAGTGGCACACCCGTCTATGTCTGTTCGTGTTTGGGTAGACGATATCAATGAGCATGTCGCTGGCTCTCGGAAAGCAGTTCGAGAGAAGCTATTTCAAGGCGTGCTCGACACGTGTCGGTCTCTTGTTGCGCACGGCCTGCCTGTGTCACCCAAGAGCGTCATCATGTGCACCAGCGCTTCTGACAGCAAAAGTGTTGTCCAACGCCTTCGGCGTCGGGGTTTTCATCTTCAGCATGCTCTTCAAACCACTCTCCTCGGGGCTGATCTTGGGGCGGGTCGCGTTGCGCGGGCATCTCGCACCAAACGGGTGGTTAAGGCGAAGGGCATGAACTTTAGGATTTGTAAGTTCGGTCGGGCTTCTAGGAAATATCTCAGGTCTGGATTACTTGAGCGTGTCGGGGCACAAGCTGCAGGCAGCTACGGGCACCAGATTGTGGGGGCTTTCGGTACCTTTCGGCAGCAGTGCAGACGTCGCCTCGGGCACGCGCTTTCCTCGGCCACGCGCGGTCGGTGTTTAACTACGGTTCTCGATCTGCGGGCCGACGGACATGATCCTGGGTACAAACTTCCGAGGGAATGTTTTCAGTTATGGTTACGCACTTGGTTTCAGGATCCGTCGCTCCGACCCGCAGTTCGCGCGGCTTGGCCGCGTGTAGTTGCTCAGTTTCGGCAGATGGAGCCTCGGCAGGTTTCGCAAGCAGTGCGTGGGCCCATCTCCGCTATGGTCGCATATCTTCTTGAGTTTGGATGGGATCCAGTACCACCGAGCGAGTGGCACACACCAGCTAGTGATGACGATCCTGGAGCGATTTGGACGTTCCCCGATGAGGTCGCTTCTTGGTCGGAGGATTTTAGTGGGTTGGTGTCCGAGTTCGAGAAAACGGTCCGTCTCAAGCTTTGGAAGTCAGCGGCGTCTCATTTTTGCGGGGAAGGGGTCCAGCACGGGGTGGATAACCATTCTCTCCGGCAAGTTCTAGCAGCGCTCTCGTCTGTACCGCACGGCACTCAGCTCTGTGAGACCATGTTCGCTATTGCAGTGGGAGGGACATGGCCAAAGGGAAGGGTCGCGGATGAGACGAATGCGCAGTGCGATGGCCTGTGTCCTCGGTGTTTGGAGAGCAAGGAGACACCTCTTCACCGAGGCTGGCTGTGCAGTTTTAACAAGGACCATGCAGTGTATTCCTCCTCTGTTCATCTTGTACCTCGTGCTGTTGCAGAGCACGACGCAGCAGCATGTTTCTGGTCGCGGGGCCTCATCCCTGCGCGGTGGACCTCAGTGGAGCCTCCGCCAGACAACGAGCAGTGGCACATGTGCCATGCTCGGCATAACGATTTCCCAGCTGCTGGAGGGCTCGGCATTGGCACCCCTGAGGAGCCCATCATAGTCTTCGGGGGCGGCAGCGGGGGTGAAGATAGTCGTGATTCTCGTCTTCGGCGCGTCGGCGTCTCGGCGGTCTCCCTCAGCGACTTCGGCGACCCCACGGTTGCAGCGTGTATCTTCGGAGGCCTTCCTGGAGGCTCTCAGACTGTCCCTCGGGGGGAGCTCTGGGGCCTCCTGGCGATCAGGCACACCTTGGGGTCCCTGGTTTACGTGTCCGACAACAGCGGGGTCGTCAATGGGTGGTTTCAGAGGAAGTATTTAGCCCCATCGGGGCCCAACGCTAGCATTTGGAAGCTCATCGGCTCAGCACTCGAAGGACGTGATCTTTCACAGGTTACTGTTTTACATGTTCCTTCTCACCTCGATGCTGAGCAGCATGTAGATTACAAGTTGCCGATGTGGATGTTCATCGGCAACCAAGTCGCCGACACCCTTGCTGGAGTTGCTGCCAGTATGGTTCGTGCCAGCCAGGATACCAGGACAAGAATTGGGAAGGTTGAGTTGGAAGCAGGGCTCGTCCGAAAAAGGTTGCTTCGATCCACTCTCGAGGCCATGGCCGCGTCCCCGTCCGTTCCACGTGCCCGAGATCAGACCAAGGCACCTAGACCGCCAGCTCCCAGCATTGTGTCCGTCTTCGAGTCCGAGCACACCCTGTCCGAGAGTGGCCGTGCGTGTGTTGTCTGTCGGAACTCGGCTTCGGCAGCTGCAGCCACGGCGTGGCGTAGGAGTCAGTGCTATAACCTGCAGTCTGTCGACTCCGCCCTTTTCCAGGTGCCGAGGGACAGTCGGTACATATCGGGGGGGGCTGGGTTCACGAGACTCACAGAATGGTTTATCAAGCCAAGAATAATGTGTGGATTTGTTGTTCCTGTGGATGTTTTGGCGTCGAGCAGCTACGGGCTTCCTTGGCCCAGCAGTGTCTCGGCACCCTGACCTCCACTGGGGCCGCTTATCTCCGCAGAGTGGAGGATGGGCAATGTCCCAAGTACCCCTCCAAGCGTGCGAAAGGCTCCTGAGGAGTTCTTTCTCTTTCTTTCATACGCACCGCGTTGGAGCCATATCCATATCCATATCCTCCTCCTCCTCCTCCTCCTCTTCCCCCTCCTCCTCCCCCTCCTCCTCCGCCGCACGACGGCCATGGCCAAGATCGACGGCGAGACTCGGGGGGAGTGGGTCACGCAGTGGCGGGGCGTCCTGGCTCGCCTCTAGGCCTACCAAAGACTGTTTCCAACAATTGTGCTGTGGTGTCACGAGGTGTTCGTGGAGCGTGTCTGGCTGACGCTGTTTGGTCTTGACACATCAGGCTGATGTTCTGAGAGCACCGTTTTGTTTTTTTCCTGATTATCTTCCCAGAGATCCGATGTCGTGATTTTTTCAATACGGGGTCCCGGGAAGTCCCGACCCTTTCCCCAGGGTCGGTTTTTCATCCTGAGTCGTTTTTTGACGGTCCCAAGGCCCGCCGAGGGCCTCTAGAGGCCGAAAATAGCACGAAACCTCCGTCTTACGTTGGATCTCTGGGTTTCGTGCTCTAAGAACACTTCGTGGAATGCAGGGGCGGTCGGTCACAGCTCGAAGGCGGAGGAGGCGGAGGGGCTGGCCTCAGCAGGCGGCGAGGCGTCTCAGACGCCCTCCCGCCCTCTGAGCTAGGCCGCCCGTGCCTTCGGAGAGGCCTTTTCGAAGACTCCTCCGAGGGCGCGAGGGCTTCTGAGAAGCCCCGCCGCCTTCTGCTTGGCATCGCTCGGACGTGTGCATTTTTTCTCGGCGAGGACCCTTGAGGAACATCCTTGATCATTTGGCGAAAAAGCCACGCACGAAACCGGAAAAAACACAAGAAATTAACGTCCGAGCGATGGCCAGTCTGAGACAGCCTGCCTCCTCCCACTCCCCCCGGGCTCGCCGCCGACAAGGTGTCGCAAGCCCTCGTCGACGCCGACCTTGATTCAGGTCCATGCCAGCCGTCGCCGGTGCGCGGGGATGATCCACACTGGACGATGACCAGCATGGACGAAGACCAAGGTCGACGCCGACACTTCCGCGTTCAGTCTTCTTGATTTGGTCCTCGTTCTCTTTCCCCCCCCACAGGAGGAGCAACTCAATACACATAGACCTTCGGAGGCCTGCGTGGATTTCCTGTATCTGTGCCTGGGCACCCCGCTCCCCCCGGCAGCGCCTCCAGCGCCGCCCCAGGCGCTCCCCGCGCGCCACGGAGGCGGGGCCCAGCCCTCCCTCCTCCCTCCTCCTCCCTCCTCCTCCCTCCTCCTCCTCCTCCTCCTCCTCCTCCTCCTCTTCCTCCTCCTCCTCCTCCTCCTCCTCCTCCTCCTCCTCCTCCTACTCCTCCGGCCCAAGACGTCCGCGCGGTCCTTCGAAAGTTTACATGCTCGTGTCGCTCGTTGCTCCTCTGGAGGCGTGCCCGGATCGCCTGAAGCATCTCGGGGACAGCATCAGCTGCTCCCTGACGGTGTCGAGCTTCAGCGAGGCTCGGGGGCGTCCGAAAGGGGGGCGAAGACCGCAGTCCAGAGGAAGAAAAGGTACCGATGCCGCTACCCTCGCCCCTTTTTCTCGTCGCCACCGCTGGATTCGCTTCGAACTTCTTGTCAGAACGCACCCCACGAGAGGCCCGGGGAGTAGCGGTATCGGTGCCGTTTGGTTTCCCCAGCAGGTTGGAGACGGCTGGGGGGGTCTGCCCTGGACTGGCACCAGCACAGCCATCCAGGAGGGGCAAGATTGCAACTTCGGAATTTCATGCCCATTTGGAGAAGGCTTTTTGGTGGTGAGTGATGGTGCATGATGCCATGGAGTTATGTTTTGCACGGCGCGTCGCTGTTTCATAGCCGCGCCACCGGCAGTGGCTCTTGTTTCACCGCTTTGCGAATGTTTTTTTGACGTGCACGGCTTCTTTCTCTCTCTCTCTCTCTTGGAGAAGGCGGCCCAGAGGGGACATGGCACGAAGCCTTGGCACAACGGTGCCTCTCCCCCTAACGGCTGGAACCAGTGATGCCCCACCTCAGCCCCCAGCCGGGTGCAAGCTGCAGCTCGGGTTCGGACGGAGCTCGCTGTTCCTGGGGTCCTTCCATGGTTGTTCCCCGGGCGCCTTCAGGCGCGGGAGAAAGAAGGGGCCGCGTTCCTTATCTGCCGTTCCTTGATGGCAGCTGCTGGACTGCAGGGGGTGGATGTCATGGCCGGGGCCACGGGATCTCCCAGATCTCATGCCCCCGCCTGCTTCTTGCTGCACGCTCCGTGCACCCCCTCGTCCGCGCACGCGCCTCGGGCCACAATGCGCTACAGCCGGCCCGAGGGTTAAGAGCAACCTTAGGTTTTGGGGGGAGCTCCATGCTCTATTCCTGATGGCCGCGGTGCACTGGCAGACCAGTGGATCGGCTGGTGATCGTCGCGCTCTCCCTTTTCGCCTCCTCCTCCCCCTCTCCCCAAAAATAAGAAGCCCTAGATTTGGAGGGGTACCCTTCTATTCTTTTCGTTCGGGCCTTCAGCTCTCAAGTGTTCTTCGCTTGGGGCACATGGTATCTCCATGAGGCATTGGGCCTTCGGCGAAGGGGCTCACATTCTTGATCCACGCTCTTGTGGCCATGCGTCGACCGCGTGCCCCCCCTCCTCTCCTCAAGCAGTGGCGACTGGGAGGCCCACCAAAAAATGTTCAAAGAACCTGATGTGGTCTGTAGACCAACAAATGTTCAAAGAACCTGTTGTGGTCTGTAGAGCATTTCTGGCTGAGACTGTCTCGTTTTGACACATCGGGCTCATGTTCTAAGAACCTCGTTCTTCGAACATTATTGGGTTCTACGAGCATGTCGTGGCAGGCTTATAGGAGTGCCCGGACGGTCGGGCCCCGCTCAATCTTCCTGGACCCCCCGGCGGGTAGTCCAGGGGGAAGCACGGCACGACTACCCGGCAGCTCCGAGCGTCGTCGCCAGGCTCCCCGGCAAGTGCGTGGCAAAAGTGTGCCCGCCCCCCGAGTAAGATTTTGACGCTCCAAGGGCCTGGCGAGGGCCCCCGGAGGCCAAAAAACGACGAACAGGTCCGTCCGGATGTCTCCAGACGTTGCATGCCTGGGGCCAGCGAGAGTTGGCGTCAAAAAAGAAGAGGATGTTGCAT